TATTATTATAATTATTATAATTATTATTATTATAATTATTATAATTGTTATTATTACTATTATTATTATTATTTTTATTATTATAATCTAGTGATATCCTGGTATGGGAAGGGGAACGAGGTGAATTTCGACTAGTAGAACCTGATGAGGTGGCCAGGAGATGGGGGGACAGGAAGAATAAGATTAACATGAACTATGACAAGCTCAGTAGGGCACTCAGGTACTAGGTCAAACAGTACAGCGAGGTCACACAGTACACCGAGGTCACAGAGTACAACGAGGTCACACAGTACACCGAGGTCACACAGTGCACCGAGGTCAAACAGTAAATCGAGGTCAAACAGTAAATCGAGGTCAAACAGTAAATCGATGTCAAACATTACATCTTTGTCAAACAGTACATCGAACATCGAAGTTAAACACTACAACGAGGTCAAACAAGGTCATTAAAGGTCATCAGTACAAAGAGGTAAATTTTAGGCCATTAAAATGATTGTAAACACCTTTTAAGTTATTCTTTCTTTTTTATCTAAATTGTAGATTGCTCTAAGTGAATTCTATAAATCAAAGACAAAGATACCTTGGGATTTTAAAAATCTGTTTAGAAATCTGTCAGTGTTTACAGAAATCTGTTTAGAAATCTGAACCCGCCTCACCATGATATGCTCTTGTATGACATAGACAATACCCATAAATTTATCTAAAGTAATGAACTGGTCAATAAACATAAAACACAGCAATTGTGCAGTGTACACAGGTCACTTCACTTATATATTTTCAAATACACATACAATTTAATGTCGTCTTCCTATTCCACAGTTTAATTGGTCCCACTGTATAATACTTATAAAACACATTAATGATAATACTGTGCAGGTACTACTACGACAAGAATATCCTGACCAAGATATCCGGGAAGAGGTACGCCTACAGGTTTGATTTTCACAGTCTTCTCCTGGCCTGTCAGGCCCAACAGTCTCCTACACCATCAGATACTAAACTTACAGAACTAACAGGGATACTTGCTCCTTTCCTTAATTCTACTCCAGGTACTTCAGGTACCACTAGTTCAAGTTCTCCGGGTTCAACAAAACCCTCCACGGGTCCTACCCAACCCTCTCCAGGACCATCACAACCATCCCCTGCTCCATCTACTCCGATATCTCCGTGTTCTCCGGTAGATCAGTCCAACCCTCCACCACAGTATACAGACCAAAGGACAGATCCACCTGCTTATACATCCTTTGCAAGGACGTCGAGCAATTATTTTAACAGCTCTGAACCACCGTCTTTCTCAAGCTTTGAGACTGAGTTCTCCCGGTCCTCTGACTCCTATATGGAACAGAGTTCAATGAGTTCGGAGATTACTCCTTGTTCTCCAGAGTACACGGAGTCATTCCAACCAGTCCCAGAGTTCTCTCAGTTCCCAGATCTGTATGCTCAACCTCAACCTGAGATACAAGCTTCCAGCTCAGCACTCTTCTTAGACCTGGAGGAGAGTTGGAACTATGATATGTGGGGTGCGGAGGAATCCAACCCAGCCCAAACCTTTAGTTCTCCTCCGAACCCAAACCAGAGCTACGGTTCTACTCCAAACCTGAATTCAAGTACAGATCAGATTATCCAATCCTTCTCTTCATCTCCGAACCTGTCCACACCAGATCATTTATCCTTCTTCTCCTCTCCGACCCAACCTCAACCCTATCATCCATCATCCAACCTCAACCAATACTTTCTCTCTTCTCCGAATCTAGCTCCGGACAGTTCCTGGTCTCAGGTACAACCTGGAGTAGAGCGGAGCAATTCTGTTCCAGCAGACATGTTTTTTAATCTTCTAAACTAATCAAACCCAAACCATAGTTAGATAACGGATAGAAAGGATATCAAGTATGTGCAAGGAGAATTCTGCCATTTTTTGTTACCTCTATAAGCTTTTTTAAAACAAATTTCATTTTTCATACTTTGTTTTTCTGTCCCAGTTTATAAATGAAACATTTTGGATTTTATACGCAGCACACACGGTCAAAAGGCATAAAATTGTGTACAAAAATGTTTATTAATCTATATTTACATTTATAAAATCAGCTAAAAATGAATCTCTACAGGACGTTCAAAAGAACATGCAGCAGTACAAAAACAACTGTTCAAAAGTATCTATATATAAATATATATATAATGTAAATAATATTTATGAGATTATATTTTGTCTTTTACAGATATTTTATGTTTTTATCACTTTCTATTAATTCTCTACAGATTGTACAGCGTAACGTATTATAAGATTTCTTTTCTGTGGTTTCAAAGTTTATTTCATATTTTCAATATAAGTATAAAGGGGCTGTAGACGTATTTTCAATATAAGTATAAAGGGACTGTAGACGTATTTTTAAGTAACCCTTTAGTTTTAGAGTGGCATTGTCCAAATCACAAAGGTACCCTTGAAACTTTGTAAGATCAAAGATTTGTTTGTAGTTGAAAATTTATCATTTTTAACAGTGATGATTAGTAAAAGCGCGAATTGTAGATTTATACTGATGAGGAAATTCAAAAGTTTTAAAAGATAAAAAAATTATATTTTTTAATGATTCTTATATAACAGAAGTTAAAGGGTATCGTTGTGAATCGAACACGGATGAAATGTTTAGTAAACAAACATTTCTGAATTGGATTATCCCTTTCAAAGGTATAAAATAAATCTGTAAACATGGCTAGCTCATATACGAATGTGATTCATTGTTAATATTGTCTTTATATAAATATAGATCTAATCTTCGAACATTTGTTGTCTTTAATTTTCCTTATTCCCTTTTTTAAAATTAAATGTTCACTGTTGTATAGAGACTGACCCTTATCATTACCCAAAAAACCAATTTAGAAAAATAAACGTTCATCGTGGACTAAGTATTCCACAGAGCACTCACAAACGAAAATTTTGGTTTATATAAAATACCAGAGCTGAAAACTTTAGAATGAATTAATGCTTAATCCTCTCTTTTTGTTAATATCGAGACTAACCTAATCTTGTACTTATATCCTAAAAAGTGTATAAAATTTAACCAATCAGAGTCGCTTATATGAAGCCGATAAATTTGAAATTTTGCCCGGCATTTAAGATTAATATACAGAAACTGGAAGAACTCCCTAATTTTAAAAACCGGTTTTTGGATTTTTCTCTTCTATATCCAAGAAAGAACGGTTTAAGAAGAAAATCAAAAGTGTGTCCATTGGATCCTCAGATGGAGTAATCGGGATAGAGGATATCTCATTCTAAAGTTTTCAGCTTAAGCCGATTTATGGGCAGAGATAAAGCAAGTTATTTAGAATACATAAACACGGCAAACCGGAACTGTTGTATAGAATACATAAACACGGCAAACCCGAACTGTTGTATAGAATACATAAACACGGCAAACCCGAACTGTTGTATAGAATACATAAACACGGCAAACCCGAACTGTTGTATAGAATACATAAACACGGCAAACCGGAACTATTCACCAAATGAATCATCTCCTTTTCATAAGATTACTTTGAGATTAGACCTTAGGCTCAGTCTGTTTCTTGGACAAATTTCGTTACGAAGCTAAACGTCTGGGGTCATATTTACTCTATGTATATAGTCATCTTTCTTCTCATATTTAATCCGCGCACGCACAGCACACCTGCTCAACCTGTCTCCCGTGCACGGAAACACTGCGCACATAATCTTGAAAAAGGGCAAATGAGATAGTTACACTACTCCAAAAGTAGCATGATCCGAGCCGGTACAACATGTGCTGAACATCCATTCAGTTGTACTGTCCAGTCTGGACTACCCAGTGTAAAGTCGACCCACATCACGGTTTATGCAACAAATGTATACATTTGTTGCATAAACCGTGATATGGNACAAAGCTTTAAGTTACCGTTGTGAATTAGGCATCACAGTCCATTACCGCCTGATCCAATCAGGGTTCAGTCATGTGTTTGTTGTTTATTCTGAACCAATAGAAATAGTATGGAGGTAACATCTATCTTTCTATCTATCTCATTATCCAATTAGAGATGAATCCTTATACTGGCGCTATAACAGTAAATGGAAATATTTACTTATCTTTGCATGGATACTCACTCCCTAGCTATGACTTAAACAAATTGAACTTACTACAAAATTATTATTAAATAAGGCAAAAAAAATAATATTCATCAATTTTTGAAATATATTCAGTGCGAGTGCATAGATCGAAACTTGGCCAATTTAAAATAATATTTTCAAAAATAGCTTGAAAAACTTACGGCTGGACCAAATTGGCTGATATTTTTTGAGGGAACCCATATGGGCGTAACATAGGCTAAAAGGATTAGAACATTTTTTCAGAACTCGAAATTTGTTTTCTTTTTCAAAATTTGAAATATTTTTTTTTTTCAAAATTCGAATTGCTTTTTCCACGGGCTTTAATAATTAGTTACAAATAAAGAAATACTTTTTTCTCGGAAGTTTTTACTAGTAAATTAGAGGTTTCTTAGCGGAAGTGAAAATTCCAAATGGATAGCTGAATAAACCTGTTGCAAGATGCCACCTGCCGACAAGTTCAAAACAAGATACTTTTTCCCATGACTTCATGATTTCATTTTGGAAAATGACTTCAGTTAATTTCGTCATTCTTTTCCCAGAACTTATTTTTGTTCCACCAATCAAAACTCAGTAGTGATGGCAGAAGCCAATGAGAATTATGCTAAATGCCGCCAGCAAATGAGAACTCAGTATTTGGATTTAGCGGCAAGTTTAACTGCGGATTTCTTGGAAAAGACGATGATTCATGCTGCGGGACTGCCTTAGGCAGTTTTGGGGGTTACTCAGGCACTGGATACTTCAGGTCACAAGCCAAAAAATACTTCAAAATGGGACTGCCTGCGCTAGCTCAGATGCGTATTTGAAGGGGGGGGGGGGGTGAATATGATGATATCCCCTGCATGTTTAGGTATAAGATGCTTAAAGAATCTCAAAACCAAATAAGAAACAATCCCCGTAGTTCTCCCGAGTTCCCCGATCAAAATTTGAGGCAAATCGGTCCAGGGGTTCCTGAGTAATAAACGGACAATCAAACAGATGTACTCTATTAATAGTTTTTGGTCGTTTTATATCTTAAAACTATCCCGATTGGCAGGGGCAGATACAGGATTTAAGTGAGGGGGGGGGGGGCAAGATTTTTAGGAACAAAAAAAATCATAATAAGAAACAAAAAATCGCGCCGCATGCGAAAATTTTTTTGACTTAAAAACTCAAAAAGAGTCAAAATTAATGACTAAAGACTAAAAAACTAGATTATTAACTTTTCACACATTATAGTTTATTAAGACAGATATTTTTCCTGTTTTGCACTAGGGTTTCTTTCCCGTAAGAATGCTATTGAGAAGCTATTCTGAAAATAGGAACAAAAAATCCAAATGGGGGGGGGGCGAATGTCCCCCCGCCCCCTCTGTATCCGCCCCTGCGGCGATTGGGCTTTTTTTTTTGGGGGGGGGGGCACAGAGCGGAGTATTAGGGTAGGGTTAGCCAAAATGATTTTTTTCCATAAACCTCTTTTTTATGTCAAATATTTTTTTTTTGAGAGAAGTCTCGACCTAAAACCCGCTTTTTCATTGAAAACTCTTAGACTAGGAATTTTTAACACGCTACATTGACTAAATCAAGGTTTTGGCGTGCTGCATGCTGGCGCCCTAAAATCTGTTCTATATGGCTGTTATAATATATTTATATATTTAAATTATCCCGAAACCACTGTTCATACTATAAAATATATGTTTTTCTTCCGAAATACTGGCAGTAACAAAGACGACATCTAAATATATTGCGGTATTACAGGATCAATTCAAGGATAAATATATGAACGGGAAAAGTAATTATAAATTGAAATCATTATAAATCAATGCAAGCTACAATTAATACAATGTTTGTAAATGAAAAGATAAACAGAATATATCCATTTTGTCTATTCTCAACATGAGACAAAATACAAAAGCATTTTAAGAGGAGTATTGGGCCAAAAATCAGTCATCCCCTCATGATCCCCAAGACCCCCAAAAATGCCCCACCGTGTGTGGGGGTGGGACCCCCCTATGATAAATTTCAGTCCTACCCTATACATAAAAAACCTTCCACAAGCGTGATAGGGTTAAAGAATTATCTAGCCATAAGCATTTTCATTTTTCAATCCGGTTTCGTATATATATCACATATATATATCATTTTATACGTCTAGCTTTCTTTTTAAAGACTGAAATTAGATATAGATAGATAGATAAGTGTATCAGTTACAAACAAATAACGTCTAAGATCCGGTTTTGTCTACATCTGATTTAACAGAGTGTCTCAATACTCTAACATATTTTTGACACGTTTTTTTATTCATATGAGAAGATCATATTATCAAAAAACCATCATAAAAAAATTGCAAATATTTAATAACAAAATCGTTTACTCATGTACTGCATAGTACTCTTTTAAGCTAGTTTAGTTTTAAATTGGAAATACACATGTTCCAACTATATATAATATTATCAGAAATACTAAATCATTTTGTTCTCCTTAATAGCTCTTTTAAAGAGGAGTTATTATTTAAAACACGTAAAATTTTTATCTTATAAAATCTAGATATTAAATTTATTCTAAAGACTATACAACCAATCTATAATTGAATAAATTTCAGCGGAAAAAACTGGTAATTAGAATTAGGACTTCCAATAAAGTCTGAGAGAAAAATATTACAGGAATTAATGTCCTGAAGAAAATATGCCAGAAAAAACCCAATAAAAAAGTCCTAAGCTTCGGGAAAGGAATTGAGTCTTTGCCACAAACTCTGATTTTTAAATCCCTATATCTTAAGAACCCAATGTTGTAGACCTTAGATATTTCAAATTATGACTTCTGTTATATCAAACAATCAAAGTTTGAATATCAAAGGTTTACATAACTGGTTGTAGATATATGGGTAGTAGAAATTTGGGATTTATTGCAAAGAATCAATTCCTTTGAACTACAGTGAAACCCTTAAAAACGAATACATCGGAAGAATTTATCAAATGTCGACTTGACAATTTATCAATGAGTTTTATTCTATATTACGTAAATTTCAGTATTTGCGAAAATAAATAAATAGCAATGAATAGTTCCATATAATCATTTAATTTAAAAACTAAATATCTGCAACATTCCATTATCAGAAAGTGAAGAATACGACATTTTATGAATTCTTTCGATGTATTCATTATTAAGGGTTTCACTGTAAGTAATAAAAAAGTATAAGTTCCTGTATTATTGTATTCTTTAATACAATAAAAAAGTATAAGTTCCTGTATTATTGTATTCTTTAATGTTCCTGTATTATTGTATTCTTTAATTCAATAAAAAAGTATAAGTTCCTGTATTATTGTATTCTTTAATACAATAAAAAAGTATAAGTTCCTGTATTATTGTATTCTTTAATACAATAAAAAAAAACTTTTTTGTTGTTGTGGGACCTCATGTGAACCCAAGGAAGGCACTGGATGCTCAGAATTACAAAAATTTGTCTCCAAAATTTTTTTTCTGTAAAATTTATTAAAAAATGTTGATTTTATTGAATCTGAAAATTTATTTTGTTATTGTTTTATATTGTGCTAAGAGAAAATGCTCACACAATTTGAAGTAGAATATTAGAATTTTAGAATATTAGAATATTAGAACATTAGAATATTAGAGTATTAGAATATTAGAATATTAGAATATAAGAATATTAGCATATTAGAATATTAGAATATCAAAACATTAGAATATTAGAATATTAAAATATTAGAATATTAGAATATTAGAATATTAGAATATTAGAGTATTAGAATATTAGAATATTGGAATATTAGAATATAAGAATATTAGCATATTAGAATATTAGAATATCAAAACATTAGAATATTAAAATATTAGAATATTAAAATATTAGAATATTAGAATATTAGAATATTAGAATATTGGAATATTAGAATATAAGAATATTAGCATATTAGAATATTAGAATATCAGAATATTAGAATATTAGAATGTTAGAATATTAGAATATTAGAATACTAGAATATTAGAATATTCGAATATTAGAATATTAGAATATCAAAACATTATCTTTTTTCAAAGGTATGATTTACAACTTACCTATACATGTTAATTTTATGTTTTTTTACAGCTGCACTGACAATGACATTTATATTTATTAAATAAAAGTGTCTCAAAAATGAATCTTGGGCAAAAATAAATATTTTTTCCCTGAATATTTTATAAGTTTTACTATTTTCATATATTGTGGTAGGCGATTATATCAAAACAATGAATACACCTTTTTACGTAATTTTTTATTGTTACCAAGCTTTTTTCAAATTACAAGTTTACAAATAATCAAAGAGAAGCTTTTTTACTTAACAGCTTTTCTTTACTTCTTTGTTTAATTGTATCAATGCTGTTTAACTCCTTTATATATAAATCAAAATTAAAATCGAAAGTCGTCTTTATTGTATTGATATATGCGACTACCACTGCAGTACACATAAAAATCCTAAATATCTTTACAGTAATAAAAAAATGTAAAAAACACTTTACTTTTACAATCAGTAGATTTATGGATAAAGGATAAAAACTGAAAAAGCTGTTTTTTTGAGACATTTGCTAAATTTATTTAAACATTAAAAGTGTCGTTATTTATGTTTCCATCGTAAAATTGTGCTTTTATAGGACAACACGAACAGACGTAAATGCTTAGTTTTTATTTTGCATGGATCATGCACAGTACACACAGGACATTAAAATTATTCAGTATAATGCAATATTGTTATTTTATTTTACATGTTAAAGAATATTTCAGATGGAATTTCTTCTATTTTTGCTCCTAGTTTCTACTGTGTCGGCGGGTTATCGGTAGGGCTGAGCAAAGTTCCTATATAAAATAACTTTTTAAAGTTAACTGAAGATTCTGTTGATAAACGGCAATAACAGTTAATGAAAGAATAATTTAACAGAGACTGTCGTTAATTTTTCTACATTTATTAAAATACAAATAATCTTTAAGACCTTGTGCTGTTTTCTAAATTTCTAAATTTTAACTCTGAACACTGCTAAAACAAGAAGCAAAAAACTAAAGAATATTGTTAACTAAACGTCATGTTAAGTTCTTAGGAACAGATACCTTTTTTTTCGTTATTTAAAAAATGTGCCTTAGTCCTGGTTATCGGAAACAGGGAGGAAACGGGGTCTTCTTAGTTTCCGGAAATAAAACTGAGATTAGAAAGGTAACTAGATTCAATTACTCAAACAACGTTTCAAAAACGTTAAAGTATCGATTTTAAAAACTTTTAAAAAGATTTTTTTTTTAAATTTCCAAATTCCAAAACGTTACTTCCTGAAATAACTGAATGTTGATTTTTGGTAAAAATTTAACAACTGATTTATTTGTGTGCATGAATTTTAATGTAACTGGATTCAAATTTCCATTTTTTAGATGTTTTAGTATTTTCAGATGTGACTATTTTTAATTTCCTACTTTTTTGATTTTATAAATTCGATTTGTTGATTTTTTCTTTTTTTACAAAACTTTTTATGGAACAAGTTTGTGGATTTAAACCTTTTTCTTTTCAATTTTTCTCAAACGAGTATTTTAAACATTTTGCATAAAGCTAATAATAGTTTTCACATTTATTTTAAGGTAGCAAAAAAAGATTGCACATTTGATTAATAAAAATACAAAGAAGTTTTAAAATAAAAAATATTATTATGATAACTTACAACTTCTCTTAAATCTGAAAATTCCAAGAGTTTTTAAATTCGCTTTTATACTTTTGCACCCTCCAAACTAGATACCTCTCCTAGTTCATGATTTTATATTTTCAATATTTGCTTTGTTACATATAGTATTGCAAATGTTTAAGTGTTTTCACAAAATGTTGAAATCATCCCCNGAATCTAATATCAATCTTTACTAATTAGGCATTGTCGACATGCCTAACCCCTGGCTGTGTGAAATCAGCTGCAACTGTTCTTGAAATGATAGACTTGAAAGTGGTAAACATAGTCAAATCATCATCTATATATATAAAGTTGTAATCTCTGTTTGTCTGTTTGTTTGTCCGATTTTAACTCGGGATGTCCTGGTCTGATTTAATTGACTGAGGAACTCGGAAAAGTAACAGGAATGCTCTTAGCTTGATTTCAACGTTAAGTGGGTCGTCTTTTATCAGGAAAAATAGCTAAAATCGTAATTAATGATAAGGGGCGTTTTAAACTGTGGGACTAATTATGACTCCCCCCTGGTACACTAGTTCTCCAAAAGTGTAAATTTTGTGACCCAATTTGTTTATTATTTCTCTATAGAAAAATAGTTTAGAAATAAACATTAAATATCCATTTGCAAGTGCATACACTATTATTTTGATGTTGTAATTCTTGTTGATTAAGTTAGTTTTATTTTTTTATTTTTATATAATTCTTTTAAAGGACCCCTGCAATAACTTTTATGACTTTGCATGTGGAAACTTCATTAAAGAGACAACTATTCCAGATCATAAATCTGAAACAGGTATTCAAGATTTATAAAATAATCAGACAGTTGAACGTACTCCTAGGAAAATAAAAAAACAGGGTAAATTTGAATTTTTTCAAACTTAAAAAGTATAAGTCTAGTATTTTTGATATTTCTTTTGTAGTAGGAAGGTTTTTAGCTCAAATTAGTCCCAAACAGACCAAGGCAGCCAAATTGGTGCACTCCTTTAAACTTTAAATTTTTCTGTTCCTCTAAATCTTTAAATTCTTTCAGGATTTCAGTGACTCTAAAAATATCCAAAATTCCTCATGTTTTACAAAATTGTATCTAAAAACTGAAAATTAAATTTAAAGCAAGAATGGATCAATTAATTGGCTTTTTAGCAAGAATTATTTTCTTAGGTCCCTTCTCCATGATGGAAGATAAACTTATTCAACGTCTAAGGTAAACATATTAAAAAGAATAATAGATATTTTTGTTAAATATTCATTCAATTATGCAAATAGATGTTATATAGGAAATTGTTTGAATCAATTCCTGTAGCTAATGAGCCAAAGATATTTGAGTCTGTGAGAAATTATTACAAAAGCTGTATGGATCAGGTATAAAGATAACCCCCCAGCATATCCTGGTTTTCAAGTACCCCAGCAGGGATAGGGTTAAAGCTAACCTAAAGAGAATTAACCTAATAGTTAAAGTGTTCAAAAACATTTATGATCAAGCTAGAACAGTTTTTTTAAGAAAATGGAAAATAAGAAATTAATGAAATGAAATGGATTTGTTCATGTTGTTACCATATAATTACCAAAAATGTGCTTGAAAATAATAATATTAATATTTTTTTCAGAGGAAACCAACCTCTCATTTAAAATATTCAATAATCAAATTATAAAAGACATGGTTAACAATTAATTTACAGTATTGATAAACCATTGTAAACTTTAATGAATAGTTAATTTCATGAAAAATCTTTATTTATTTATTTTATTATCAATCAAGGTTATTATAAAACGTGGAAGAAGTTCAAATCAACTAAAACTGCACTTGATTCTTTGGTGAATCTGTGGCCGAATTTAAAGAATCTGAGGGGCGGTTTAAATTTAAGCCGCGGCTTAAACATATGGTTGGTTCCACTTAAAATTGTATTAAATGTTTCAAGATTAAAGCCGGCGCTTAATTTAAACCGGATTTTGGCAGATTTAAACAGCCGCTCAAATTCTTTAAATTCCATCTCAAGTCTATTTAATTTAGTATAAAATTATCCTTCAGTAGAAAGCCTTAGACGGCAAATGCATCAAAAAATTTCACTCAATTAGTTAATGAAATGATTTTTAGATAACTCTATCAGTAGAATTTTAGTTTAAAATATATCGCAAAATAAGTTTTTTAACATTGTTTTCTTAAATTGTTATATTTCAGGTTCTATGTTTGATGCTTAACTTATACTGATGCTTTTTTTCAGCTAAAGCCAACCAAAAAGGACCTAAAATAGGAAGAATCTTGGAATTTAAAATTGGTGTAAACCTTGAAGATGTCAACATCAGGGAGGCACTTTTTATTGATAAACTTTAGTTCTAATATATCTCAACAATTGTCTTCATACATGGCTCAAGGACTAAATAAAAGTAGTATAAAAACATTTTAACACTTGGAAAGAAAACAAGTTTACAGGTGCAACATTTATATTCTGCATTGTTTTGTAAGAGCTTTTACAGGGACATATGTTTTATCTGTATGCACTGTTTAGTTTAGTGGGTTATCTTGGCCATCACATTGTACAAGGTGTTTTATTAATTCTGTAATTTTCAAATAGCTTATATCTCCGCTATTTTTAAAAATCTGTTCTGAGTAGCTTATCAATGGAAGTTTTATAATCCGGGAAATAAAGACATGTTTTGTTAACTTTAATAATTTATTTTAATTAAATTTTACAATATTTTTAAATTTTAATATGATATCAGATGGAAACATTTTGAAGTGTATTCCCCTTCTAATTTTTCCTGTTCAAAGTTTTCTTCTTCTTTCTTGTTTATCTTGGTTTAAGCACCCATCTCTACTGTCAAGAGATTTCCCTTCCACTTTTTTCTGTTCAATTTATTTTTTCTTCTTGCTTCTTGTTTCTTGTTTTTACATAAGGCCTTTCCAAATAGTTCTTTTAACATCGAGTTGTGGAGCAGGTAGGAGAGAGATAAGGAGGTTTGTAGGAAGAAGGGTATAGGGGATTTCTCCCTGTGTTCCTTCATTTTATAAAAACATGTAAATTCGCAATTTCATATTTTCTGTCACATCATGTTTTCACCAAAAATCATGTTTTCTGGAGGTGCCGACCAGAAATAATACTCTGATTTCCTTACCAATCTAAATAAACCTTGGCATGGCCATGGAGACAGTTTCCTGAAAATTACAGCCAGATCAGTGAAAAAAATGTGGGTGCAGCATTAAAAACCCTGTCGTCCCCCTCTAACCCATGTCAAAGTAGCAGACTACTTCCACTCCAGAACCAGTTTGTATGACAAAGAGAGCGGAGGCCATTTTGAACGTTTAATGAAAAAATCTCAGCAATTTTTTGCCATATAACAAACGTCCATGTGTGTGGACAACCTTAATTGTTTAAGGAATGTAAGCCATAATAATTTAACCAGTGCTGTATCAGAATTATAAATTACAAAATTAAAAAAAAACATCCTGCAGATTTACCTGGTGCGGTTTTCATATGAGGTCCAAACACTGGCCATTCAATGGAGAATTTTAGTATTCTTAGGATTTTTTATAGTTTACAATTAAACGTTGAACCATTTCTGCTTTCTCAAGGCTTAAATTCATCAAATGATTCTGGGGCCAATATCAATATCTGTGTGCAGGTCAAAATTTAAACAAATTAGTAATTGCAAGTCACAAGAACCAAAAGTTATTTAGAATCTAAAAAGTTGTACCTGCAGAATGATTTCAGCCACATCACCCACTCCAGTGCTAAGCCCAGAATTTTTAATTAATGGATTAAAAAACAAAAATGTTCAGGCATATTTCAGGTAAGAAGTGTAAAGGAAATTAGTCTTAGCCACAAACTTAAATTTTTTAATCCCTCTTAGCAACCTGATTGTGTAAATTTTTGATTATTTCGTGAAAATAAAATATAAGGTATACAACACATGGTATTTTAGCATGTAAGGATTAAAAAAACCATAGTTTGTGGCGATTCAGAAATCATAGATTTTTTCCGAGGTATATGGTTGACATAGCGGTGTATCTTGGGGCAAAGAAAGAAATTGCAGAAAAAGAACTAAAAGTAAGCTTAATTGATATGAACATGAATATAAATTGATTTAAATTGTTAATAATAAACTTTAGGAATCCTTGTTATTTGAAATAAAACTAGCAGAGATGATGAGTGTACCAGAGGAACAGAGTAGAAATGCAACAGTTTTCAATAATCAGGTTATCTAATAATTATTATAAATAGTTTAAAGGAAAGACCAGCTAGACATGGTAGTCGAGCTAAAAGTGCAGTATCGTAGAGAAAAACTTTAGGATTCATTTAATACCAATGAGAAATTTTTATGATGTACAGTTTTTGAATAAAAGCCTAAAGTTGCTTGTAATATTTCACCAGTTGTTTCACACAGAAATATAAAGAAAAAAGCTTAAAATCACGAAATACAAAATATAATATTCATCACAATCTGCATGCAGTATTTTCTGTTTAAAAAAACATAAGAAGTTTAATGATGATTTTTCAAATCATTAAGATTATTTGTAGGGTTTCCAGTCATAATTATGTTACATGTAATTATGAGTAACAATTTCTTTTGCTTACGCAAAATTAAGTGTTAATTGGTAATATTAGTATTGGCTAAAAATTCTGATTAACCTGTGCAACATTACTTTCCCTGACAGTTAGTTTTTATTAAGGCCGTACTTATGCAAAATTTTAATTTTTCTCAGAAGGCACAATAATTGCAAAATTTTGCCAAATTATGCCTTAACTTTTGCGTAATTGAAGTTTTGCTAACTACTCATAATTATTGCAAAAATTCACAAAATCACTGACGTTTTGCTAATTATTTGTAATTATTGCAACATTTTGCAAATCTACTTTCTAAAAATTAGGTGAAATTACACTGTAATTTCGCGACATTGAAGTTTCATTAATCATGCTTAATTATTGCAAAATTTTGCAAAATTACTTTGTAGAAATTACGCTAAATTGCGCTGTTGTTTCATGCAATTAAAGTTTTGCTTTATGCATAATTCTGTGAAATTATGCAAAATTATAATAGTTTTGAGTAACAGAACCTCATTTCTTGTGAGTTAAAAATCAATTACGTTTGAAAACCTAAATATCTGTAACATAAATCAAACCTTATAAAATCCAGTATAATTAAACAAGGTATTTGCTCATATATAGAATTGGTACCTTAAAGTTATTACTAAATTTTTGACTAAAGCTTCTTCAATCATTGTTAACTACTTCAAAACAATTTATTTTCAGATGACAATTAAGGAGGCAAATAAACTCTTTCCTGGGTTTAACTGGACATCACACATCAACAACATATTTCCTAATCTGGTAATCTAAATTATTTATACTTGATCCTCTTCAACAGAGATCTTAAGTTTTAAAAAATCACTTTCGGTATTTTTGAATTTCATACATATAACATGACACAAATATTTTTTAATTACAAAAATTGTTGTATTAAATGTTTCATATAATTTGCTAATTCAATGATCAGCATGTTGTTCTAGGAAACCCCACTGCAATCATATGAAGTGATTAATGTTGAAGTTCCCATATATGTGAAGAGAATAGCAGAATACCTACACACTGTACCTACTCGAGTTCAAGCTAATTATCTAATCTGGAGAATTATCAATGACTTGGTGCTGTATGGTGACAAGGTCTAATTTATATGAAATGTACTTAAATGTTCTTATTTTATAAAAAGCCCTTAACATTTTTTCCTGATAATGTTTTTTTTGAAATTTACAGAATTCTTAAGCAAATAAGTTTGAACTAAATCACATTTAAAAAAAAAATCTTTTTTAAACCTTGAGTTATAAAGTATAAAAAATTCAATCATCATCAAAATTAAATTTTTTCCTGTATTTCTATTTATGTTTAGACTATGCAGCAGATTGATCTGAAATTCAAAAACATTTTAACAGGGGAATCTCTGGCAAGTCCTAGGTAAAACTAAAATAAGAATTGGAAAGAAAATCTGATGGTACATAATTTCTCATACATTAATTTAGATCCAAATTCAGATCTTAAAGAACATTTCCCTGGTCCCCTAAAGATGCAAAACCATTAAAAAGTCATGGAACAACGTTATTTAGCTTCACAGAACAAGTTGTGACATCATGGCATGCAGTGAAAAATTTATTTTTCTGGATAAATGCCGTGTGGAATAATTTTTAGGCAACTTTTTCAGCATGTCAATCAATTAAACCTAGAAATTCTGAGACAACAAAAAAATTTACAAAAATTCTGTCTTCACAATTTTGAGGTTTACCTCTAAGAATATTTTAGTCCCTAAATTTAAAGTTAAATTCTTGAATTTAAAAGATATCAAAATTAGTTATGACTTTAGAAGCTGGTACTCAAAGATATTCTCAACATAAGTATTTGACATTTTATTTCCGTAGATGGGAAATCTGTACTAAGGCAATTGCAGGATTAAGTGATGGTTATGATTATTTCTTCATGGAAGGTAAACAAACATGCAAACTTTATACTTGGATTTTAAACCAAGCTCAAATAAAGACATTTAAAATAAGCATCACTTTCACAGGAAAGATAAAAAGTGTATTTATTCATAATAACTAGCACTATTTGGGTTCGTCCTAGTGGACACTGCGGCTAGGACAGGCTAAGGGTCTGAGCGCCACCTCAGTTAGGACAGTCTATATAGGGGGCTAGGTGCTGAGGCCACATTTCCAAAGTCTTTACAAAACTCAATGAAAATCATTTAAAGCTATGCACAAAATTGATAGGAGGCCGGAAGATTCTAATTTTTTTTCTCCAGGAAATTACTGTACTATTTTAATCTTAGGTACTCAGTTAAATGCTGTTGGTGCCATGTATGCCAAGGAATACTTTCCTGAGAGTAGTAAAAATATTGTAAATGATATGGTTACCAACATCAAGTAAGTTACTTGAGAAGAGTTGTTTTTAACTGCATTAACTGCTATGCAAATTTAAGCTTAAGATAATTAAACTTCAAATTAGTGTAGACAATTTACTGGAATACCAATTGGTAATCCACAGTTTTCTTTACAGTAAATCAGGTATTTAGTCAATTAATGCTGTCGGATAAGTTAATATATGTGAACATTAGCAAAAATATTCCGTAGCACTGTGGCTGAATAACCTATCTGCCCAAAAAGGAAATTCTTCTTGTTCCATGCCACCAGTGCAGACAGATCATATGGGATCACATCATTATTTTCCAGTGTTTCGTGTGTTCTACATATTAGAAGAAAAATACAAACTACAAATATAGACTAAATATTATGACATGTACAACAACATAAAAATTTTAGAATTGTGGATATCCAAATCAATGCTTGATCTTCTCTTTTTGTTAATTTGAAGATTAATTTCATCAAAAAGTGTATAAAAATAAAAGTGTAAAGTGCCAATTGCGTGGGGTTTGTGGAGAAACCAAAATAGCAAATCAGAGGAGGCTGGAAATCTTTAATTTTGCACGGCATTTAATAAGTGAACTCTCATTGGTCAGAAACTGGCAGGTAGAGAAAAAGAAAGAAATAGAGCCGATTAAGAGGGAAAGAGTTCACATTGGATTTTCAGATTAAGTGTATACAATATTAAAGTTTTTAACTATGAAAACATTTTCCTTAATGTAATTATAGGTAATTTCTAACAAATTTTTGGACAGTTTTTCAAAAATTAACCAAAAGCTGTAACATAACTTGATTAAGGAAGGAGTTTAAGATAATGTTGGATGAGCTGGATTGGATTGATGATATTACAAGGAAGAAGGCTCATGTCAAGGTGGACAAGATGACACCTCACGTTGGATATGCCAAGGAGATCTTAGATAACAACCTCATCAATGAGTTTTATGAAGGTCTTTAATTGATTCAGCATTCATCAATGATCATTAAACCTTTTGTTATGCAATTATGGAACAAATATTTTGCCAGTAAATCATCTGTTCAGTAACAACAAAATTCAATATTTTGGCACCTGTAGCACTTACATCATTAAAAAAGAAAACATTTGATTTCATTTTTTGTCTCCTTTTTTTAATGGTATCATTTGGGTTTTAAACGTTAGATTTGAAATCTAAAGATTTCAACTTATTTTTTAAAGTTTTTTAAATAAGGTTTGGAGTTGGCTTCTCCTGATTTTCTGACAAACAACTTGATTTTGAAGAGCTTTGTCAAAAAGTACCTTTCACAAATATACAGAAAACCAATGGATCATAAAAGGTTAGTTAAACCGATATTGATTACATATTTAGTGTAAACATCCAGTAATGCAACAAAAAAGTAAGTGTCAAGTATGGAGATTTACCTTAAAAGATTTAGAATTCAACAATTTGGCAATGAAAGTAAACAAACAGTTATCAAGGGGAAGTAGGACCACTATTGAGAAATGATTTTGATTGTTCAATGACTTCCAGAGTTAAGAAATTTTGATAGATAATAAGAAATATTGCAATGAAAACAATGGTCCTCTTTACCATCAAGATATTTTGTATGGTTTATGAATAACAAAAATAATTTTTAGTTGGAAAATACATGGTGGAGCAGCGTTTCCAAATGCATTTTTTGAAGAAAACCAAAACAGCATAATTTTACCAGCAGCAGTGTTTACTGGCCTATTTTTTCAGGTTACTTTTATTCCATTTGATTCTTAAAACTTCAATCATCGAGTTAAGCTGTGGGTGAGACTTAACAAAGCCCCTGAGACATGTTGTCTAACTTTTCTTATTACAAAACTCTTCAAAAATCGAATTTTACAGGATGTCCTTAACACTATTATGATATTGAGCAACTGTGGGGTTATTATCCAATGTATTTTAAGTAAGTCACAGAGTTAAAATTTCAACCATCTCAACTAAAACCTGCCAATCCAGGTTATATTTACAAATATATGTTCTAATTAGATTTAGGTTTTAATTTCTAAATTATCAACCTGTGTTGATAAAAAATATTACTAAAATCTGATTCTTCATTTCTGTAAAAATAAGAATGTAAAATTTAGGCTGACCGTCCTAAATACATGAATTATGGTGCCATTGGGTCTGTTATTGGTCATGAGATCACACATGGATTTGATGATCAAGGAAGTCAAAGTGACGATAATGGAAACCTAGTCAACTGGTGGGATCTAGATACTAAGCAAAAATTTCTAGATAAAACTCAGTGCATTATTGGTACATACTCATTCCAAATTTTATTTTAAATCAACAGTTGAATATTTCAGCCAAATGTTTCCAAAATTTATAATCATAAAACTCAAAGTTATCTGTAATGTTTAAAGGGATTGACCAGCAATTCACGGTAGGTGAACTGAGATTGCAGTATTTGTTGAGAAATTTTATAATGATTCATTTGAGACATATAAAATGTTTTAATGATGTATTATAATAACTGAGTTTGAGCACAAAGTCAACGTTTAAATTCATCCATTTGAGTGTTTGCATTTCAAGAATCAATTTTTAAAAGATTATTTAAATATAATGACAACAAATAAAAAAAATTCTACAGGAAACCAATTAGATGTATAGGAACATATTTATCAGTTAAAATTTATTTTCTCGATATAATAGATAATAATATTAGTTAATTTTTAATTTGTCAACCTGTTCCTAAGCAACTAGTTAGTTTACTGTAGAGCTTTAACAAGAGATTTTTTTGTCGTCTATTGCATAATTTTTTAAAACTCATTCTTAAAATCATTCCTCAAATATGAACAATCTTTAGAGGATTTTAACGTTAGAATTTGCGCTCTTGCTGAACAAATATGCACCGTAAAAGGTACATGCCTCAAATGATTCCTAAAATATTTCTCCACAATACTGCATTTTCAGTTCAACTACCATACATTGCCTGTCACTCCCTTTAATTAATATTTAATAATTAGACCAGTATGGAAATTATACGGTTGATATAAATGGGACAGTTTTCAATCTTGACGGAATAAACGCCCAAGGAGAGAATATAGCTGATAACGGTGGTATCAAACAGGCCTACAGGTAAAACATAACTATGGGTAAAACTGTTTTGTTGGATCTCTGGCCAAGGTTGGAATTCTGAGACTTAGCTAAAGATGTTTTTATTTATGGCTAAACATTTCAGAGATGAAAGGACTTTAAAATTTCATTAACTTTTAGAGTTTGTTTGCAGGTTATTGAGTTCAGGCACTGAATTCCTGTAGCTTACCCAGATATCTAACTAGGGTTTAAAATTGGAATTCCTTTGTGGAGAATTGCACAATACTGTGTGGAATTGCGCTTCATTATTTCAAATTGTGCGGAATTGTGCAAAATTGGGAGGAATTGCACAGAGTTTACAGGGCTTGCAAATGCGTGTAAGTAAAAGCCACTTGCATTGGAAACCATAAAACCAAAACAATAATTACCAGCTTTAAATGCTTTAAGTTGTGCTTCATGTTAAAGCTAAAATGTGTAGAGCATATGAGAGGCTGATGAAAAAGGAAGGGAAGGAACAATTTTTACCTGGACTACAATACACCCCACGTCAACTGTTCTGGATTTCAGTGGCTTCACTTCAATGTAATGCAATTAGAGACAAACAATTACTGAATATAGTACTGACTGGAACTCACACTTTATCAAGGTATTTTTCACTAATCAGCTTGTTGAGTGTTCAGCCCAGTCTGTTTTAAGTATTCTAAATATGAAAATATGAAGTAGATGAACTTTCTTTATAGAGGTTCTTTAATTTTAACCAAGCTTTGTTAATGATGCATATTTGTGGCATTAAAAGAATATATCCAAAGAATAAATATTAAAAAAAGATCAATTTTAAAATTTTAAATTTGATAAAGCTTTTTCTAAATTTAAAAGATTATCATAAATCCATAGCAATTTAAAATGTTCATTAATAAAATTACAATAAATTACTTAATATTTTTTTTCAGTTTAAACAGACCATATGAAATTTGAAACCAAAAACCTTATTTTATAGATTTAGAGTGAATGGGCCATTAAGCAATCAAAAGGAGTTTTCAAAGGATTGGAACTGTCCGCCAGGGTCCCCAATGAATCCTACAAAAAAATGCAGTGTCTGGTGAACAAAAGTATTAAATTGAAACAAATTTTTAATAATTATATCTGCAAAACGTTTAATCAATAACCTATTTTCAAATATATCCAGGACAAATGCAACTAAAAAAGTGAACCAGGTGACTTAAAGGGAGTGTTCGCGAAAAATGAAAGGGAGTATAGGCTTAATGCGATAAAAATCGCTTTTGATCGCTACTAATCTTACTTCTATCTGTTGCGTCTATAAGGAGAAAATTGTTAAAATATTCTAATATTCTAATATTTTAATATTCTAATATTCTAATATTCTAATACTCTAATATTATATTATTCTAATATTCTAATATTCTAATATATCTAATATTCTAATATTCTAATATTTTAATATTCTAATATTCTAATATTCTAATATTCTAATATTCTAATATTCTAATATTTTAATATTCTAATATTCTAATAAACTAATATATAGATATAGATATATAATCTTTTCTGAGTATTTAGATTGGGATGTTTAAAAGAGATTTTAAACATCTATTGTTAAAAGAAAAGAAATCGTGATTTGGAGAAGAAGACATTTGAATTCTGCCTTCTTCTTATCACGTTAGATATAGTGTGTCCCACGAAACATGAAGGGTAGCAAGACGACTTGAAGGTTGTCTTTAATATTTAATAAAATTTTTTTCATAAACCCTATTTTAGAAGTAAAACTGTAGAGTTAATAATCACAAAATACCCCTAGTCTTGGCATTTCCACTTCACCTGAGATCAGGAAGATTTTGTTCAAAGGAATTGACTTTTAGCCACAAATTCTGATTTTCTAATCGCTATATCTTTGCAACCTGATGGTGTTAACCTTTGATCATTAATTGATCTAAAATAATTCATAGTTTGAAATATCTAAGGTCTCCGACATTGAAATGCAAAGATATAGGGATAAGAAAATCAGAGTTTGGGACAAAAACTCAATTCCTTTGCACATTTTTCTTATTTAATAAAATTGAAATCTGAACAAAATGCTGAATATCTCCGTTAAAATTGACAGCATAAAAAATACATAAGTGCCAGGACTGGGAGAATTTTGTGGTTAATGTTTTAAGAGTCATGTGTGTCTATTTAGGTTGATGACTGAATGTCATACAAACAAGTACGTCGTCTTGCTTCTGTCATGTTTTGTGGATATTCAGACTTTGTTCTGTCTCAAGATGGTTTGCTTTCAATAAAAAAATATGTCTAATGAATATAACATTTATAATTTGGTTTTAGTTTTTTCATTTGCAGAGAAACTTTTGTAATTCAACTGTAATGGGGAATCACATGGATTTGGCGCAAATATTTTTCTCTTCACATAACTGGTTAATTCTCGCAAGCGAATAATTGCACAAGCATCAGCCTTCGGAAGAAACTCAAGTTTCCTTCTTTTAGAGGCACTGATTGAACCATGGTTTAAATAATGTTAATAACTAGCTGAAGGGCCCGCCTGTGGAATTGAAAAAAAATCAGACCATTCGGTCCAGCCGTTTGGCCAGCTATAGTATAGCTAACATATGCAAATATACATGAGCTAAGAGCTTTATTATATAGATAAATAGCTAAATTGCCCGGTGTAGTCCATGGAATTTAGAAATATTCCAGCCAATTCTGTCCAGCCGTTTGGCCAGCTATGCTAACATATAAATATATAAATTTATATATTTAGTAGGTTTTCAGGGCGCTTAGCCCCCATCTTTTATTTCAAATGTAAACATTTTCTCTTTCTATACATTGTAAAACGCAAAAAAAATCTCGGATTTTATAAAAACATTTTTGTGGATCTTCAAAATTTTAAGAAAAAACGAATTATGTACAATTTTATTAAAATGTTGTTTATTGATTTCCTTGTGGTAATGTGAGGACCCACACAAAATTTAAGCCCGATCAGTTCAGTCGTTTTGACGTTTATTGGATACAAACGAAACTGACAGACAAACAGACAAACAAAGTATATATATATATACCAGGCTTTCGCGGATTTTATAAAAAAATTGTGGATTTTAATAACTTAAAATTTTTTACAAAAAAAAACTTTTAAACACAAATTTTAAAAATTCATAAACCTTCCCTGGGGTCACGCGAGCTCCCGATCGGTTCAGCCGTTTTGACGTTTATTGGATACAAACATACAGACACCCAAGCCAAAATATAGATGAGCGAAGATCTTTATTATATAGATAAATATAAGATAAACTTAATTCTTAGATCCCAATAAAAAATTCAAAAAAGGGAAAAATCCTAATTGTTTTTTTGGAATTCATTCAGCGATTAAACGGGATAATTTACTGTTTAGCGGATTAATGAACCTTATTTTCTCTGATTGGATGAGTAGAAAAATAGTTAAATAGTTCTAAATATATGCCAAACGCGTCACTAAGACCAGATAGGATTGGACGCAAACCGGACAGTTGAAACTAGGGAGACTAAATTTTCAGATGGAAAAAATGAATATGTTTATTAAAGATATATTATTATTATTATTATGATTATATTTGTGGCTCCGAAAACCTAAAAATGGCAGATTTTAGATTAAAAAAAATTAAAAATATTTATTTGTTACTGTTTCATGATAAACTTAGAAAAAGTGTTTACATATTAAGCAGCAAAAGAATTTAGTTGGGGAAAAAACTATGATTGATCATTCTTCTGAAGTCATTACACTTATATTTTGATACATAAAAGTTATGAATAATTGGTACAAATATGGATTTTAACTATTTACAATAACTATTCAAAAGAAGTGATAAACCTTCCTTAATTTTCCTCTTATTGGTATGAATGGTTCTTTCATTAAAATCTTCTTTATTCATTCTATGTTTAATTTTTCTAGATTTTTAATTCTCTTCAATTTTAAATTTACATATTTGAAATCATTGTAAAATGGCGCGTACGATGAGCGATGTAACCTTTTCCGTTGAACAATAAGACTACATACTGTGAGTAATTTCTGTTGATATTTGTAGAGATCAGCGCGTCAATTTCCTGTTCTTAAATAATAAAAAATAAACTTCAAATGAGGTATTTGGGGAAATCCCCAGATTCCCAGGCATTTGGGAAATTCTTTAGATTCTCATGTATTTTGGGGAATTTCCCAGATTCCCATGAATTTGAGGAATTCCGCAAATTCACAGGTATTTGAGGGAATTTACCAGATTCCTAGGCATTTGGAAAATTCCCCAGATTCCAAGGTATTTGGGGAATTTCCAATTTTGATCATTTTCTTAATTGCAAAGATGACAAGGATGGCAAGGTGAGAAAGCCTGATTTCCTTGAAAGTTTTGTCTGATCAATTATGAATTATATATTAATGATCATGTTCATTCATACAGTTTCTCACTCAAAATAAACAATGGAGAAATTATCAGAACCTAACACTTTTCGAGTAAGAAATGCACGACGCTATCTTCCACGTTTTTTTTTGATCAGATTAAGGTTTCAGGAGTACCGTTGTAAATCGGGCATTGCTAACTTTGCATGGAGGGTCCCTTAAAATTATGCGTACAGTTCCTTTAATACCACCGTGTTAAATAAGCCTTCCAAACTTTTTAAAGTATTGGTATAGAGAAATTAAAGAAGTACTAATTCCTCAAACAGACATCTTACAAATAAGAAAATTAACTCTTTGTGATTTTCTGAAATTTGTATACTAGTCAGGTATTATTTTATCAAAGTCGTTGCACTTTTGAATCTTTAATATCATTTTATCATTAATATCTTAAACAATTAAAAATTCGTCCATTCAAACCAAACTCTTGAATATTAATTACTCTGAAATCAGTAAAAAAAGCCTATTTTAAAATTTTCATTGTTTTTAATTATTAATTTTAGTTACTTTCTAGATTCCCAAGAATTGGTATTTAAAAATGAATTATGTATGTTAGGTAGTCGGTTTTCAATATCTAAAGATTATAAGGCTGAAATTTATGAAAACGCTTAACCTCACTCACAGTGGATCCAAAAGTTGCAAAGTCTAACGCAAAATTCCATTAGAATTGTACAAATTACATCTTAAAAACTATTGCTAAAATTAAAAACAACTACGGTGATTCTAAAATGTAAATGTTTAGAGCTACATAAAAAGTATAATTGTGATATACTGTGAAACCCTTAGCAACGAATACATGGGAAGAATTTATCAAATGTCGTCTTGACAATTTTTCAATGAGTTTTATTTTAATTAAAAAACTAAATTGTCCGATTCGTTAGACATTTTCTAGCTATGCTTTAGCTGTGACTTCCTCACCTAGCTAGCCTGGGAAATCGCAGCTAAATCACAGCTAGAAACTGTTTAACGAATCGGGTAAATATCTGCAACATTCCATTATCAGAAAGTGAAGAATACGACATTTGATAAATTCTTTCGATGTATTCGGTATTAAAGGTTTTACTGTAGTAAGGTAAAATCAAAAGCCTAGCTGTTGCGCTTGCGACACTTCAAAGTTAACCCATTCTTTAAAAGATTTAACTTTTTAACTACTTTGAGAAAATTAAAACAATTGGAAATTTAAACACTTGATACAAGGGTTTATCATTGAATTCCCAAATGTTCAAAATGATATTTCTTTCTAAAGTACAGGTTTTAACACGGACCTGCATTAATACGTTTTAGATTAGCGGTTTACAATAAAAATTTCTGCATTCCATAAAAACAGCCAATTTTAAAGAAATGTGCAATCATGAAAAATAGTTTTTCATTGCAATATCCTGTGTAAAGTTTCGTGCTCTAAAATTGTGCAATTCACAGTTTGCACATTTTATTGTCTATTGGTCTATTGTACTAATTGGGGAATTACATTTAACAGCAAAGGGTGTAGCTTAGAACTGATTTCTAATGGCAGTGCTAGGCGAAAATTTGTTTTTTTATGTTAAAAAATGTAATTTACACCAAACAAATATTAAATAAAACTTTTAAAATCCTCGTGCACCGTTGTTTTGATTAAAAGAAACTTAAACGGAATGTATAAGCGCAATTTCAAGTGATGCAAAATATGGGATTTAGAAACCGTTATCTCAAGGTACTAATGCAAGGAAAGTTAATTACGGTCGCGTATACTCTGCGTACTTATTGAAATGAGTTCTCTCTGGGCGGAACTTGTAAGCAAGAATAGATGCATTAGTGTTCGTCTAGTATCCGAGGAGGATAAAAGCATTTAATTTTGATAATTTTGATAATTGACATAAAAGTTTCCTATGACTAAAATATTTCATTGATTTTTAATGTAAAAATGAATTCCATGTCTGGCTGTGGCATCCGTATTGTGTTTACTTTACCGCCCAAAGACAGTACACTGCAGTACAAAAAATGCGTACACCTCCGAAATATCTTTCCTTTTGATATTACGCTTGTAGTCCTATTAAATTAATCATTCTTTTAATCTTAAATACATAATTTACAGTTATAATAACATGTTGTCCAAAATATAATTATACATCGATTCTTAGTATGTTTATTGATTAATAGTGCCGCAGACCTGTACGTGAGGTGCCTATATTTTCCATTTTTATTAGGAATCATCTAAAAATAAAGGCTTTCGAGAACATTATTAATGAATATACTCACATTTTATTCAATTTACATGAACGTGATTTATTGTTGGATTAAGAAATTCTGTTCTATCCCAAATTTTTAAAAGTTTTGGATTGTTATATTGTAATTATATAATTGTCTCGGCCGTTTTTAATTTTAAATCTAAATACAATCAAGAGGTCTACAAGTCTCCCTTACAATATTAAATAAAGTTGATTTTAACTTTAATTATTCTGAATACTATCTGATGGTTAACCAGCAAAAAGTTTAATGAAAAAAGAAAAAAAAATCAGCGATAGAATAACATTTAATTAACTGAAAAAATCAAATCTTCAAGACCCCAATATGAAAGCACTGAATCATTACCCAGGGCCAACATAAAGAGGAATTAAAATGTTAAATGTTTTCCATAAATCCATGCTTAAACAAATTAAAAATATATTTTTTAATTAATAAATTATTTAATGATTGTACTCTCTCCAATCTATAAAGCTTTGCAGCAAACAAAACGTTTCACGAAAAAATGCGAAAATTTTCAGTCCTATTTCGCAAACTTTTTTGGTGAAATTTCGCATTTTTTCGCGAAAATGAATGAAGCGAAAAATGCAAAAAAAATTTTTATTGATGAATTTTTGTAATATTCGGCATTTTTCTTTAAATTCCGAATTTGTTCGCGAAACAAATTGAAAAGAATTTTCGC